CACCCGTGTCTGTTCTTACTGTTTGTAGTTGATCAGGCGTCCTTTCATCGGCTCGAAGATTTAGGATATTCCTCACTTCCTTACTAATTTGAATCTGTGGGGAGAGTACACGAGGACTGCATGTTTCAGGATATCTTTATTCAATGTCGTCGATATATGGTGGTAGTTAATGGTAGTTGTGGTGGTGAGAGTTGTTGGGTGCGTGTTAGCGGTGAATGGTCAGGTATGAGCGATGGAGAGCCGGTGGGTGGATAGTGGAATGAGTAGCGGGTGGGTGGATAGTGGAATGAGTAGCGGATGGGTGGATAGTGGTATGGGTGGTGGATCGATAGTGGTTGTTGGTGGTGTCTGTAGTGTTATGTGTATTGATTAGTTAGTGGGTAGTGGAATAAGTCAATTGGTGGGTGAGTAGTGATATGGGTGGTTGTTGTGTTCGTATGTTGAATCTTTCAGTATTCTGAACAAAAGAATATTTCAATCCACCTGCCTCTTTATTAGCCTTGAATAAAGTAGGATCAAAAAGAGCAGGTCCTGTGTCAGCAGCAGGCAGACTGGTTATGAATGCCTTATTCTTCATCATCATGTACGCTTCCATCATCTCCAGGAATGATTTACATATCCCTTCTCCCAGATCACGCTTAGGATCACTAWCAAACAACCACTTAGTGTTAGAACAGCTTAGCGAAATCACGCGATGCTTCTTGGTTTACTTGACTAATTGATTTAAAAGATGTCGTATGATCAGCATACGGACTGGAACATGTTGCCACTCAACACGTTCCTGAGGGTGGAATGGTATCATGGAATTATTTTTAATGTACAAACATTTGCATCTAATAAGTTCTTAACACCAAACCAAACCAACGTATAATCTTTCGTGCTTGCAACAACTAACGCTCAAGTGTTTTTAAAATTAAAATGCTCTAAAATAGCAGGTAGTCGCAGGAAGGAAGCGAGATAGGGCTGCGATGCTAACATAAAAAACAGACCTCTCGTTTAGCGCAAAACTCTACAAGACAGGCAGGCTATTTTGCGGCAGGGGTTTCCGCCATGCGCAGTGCTGTGTCAATTACGCATGATATGCTATGATTTCGTGTACCATTTAATTACGAATTTAGCTTTCTTTTCGTATATTTTTCGAGTAAAAATGTCTCGGTCGCGTGATGAAAAACCAAAATAGAATAGTTTTCATATGTCTGTGCACGGCACGGCACGGCACACGGCGCAACGACGTGTCTGCTTATAGATATATCTATCACACACCTCTTCAAAGCATTCCCTACTCTAAGTAACGTACGCACGATCCTGGCGATTCTTCGAAAACATTCTAATGGCTGAAACGAAACAAAATAAATAAATAAATATATATACTCAGGTTATGTTTAGGCGCAAGCTTCTCACATTAATAGAGTGCATCCGATATATCCGTGAAAATGTTGGTAAAAAATTGAACAAATTAGTAAGTTCAGTAGACCAACAAAACTTTGCACTAATTTGTACGATGTTGTTAAATTTTTCAAGGACATATGCATGGTATGCACTCTAATGTAAAATTTATCACTGGATAGAGTGAAGAAAAGAGGGAAAGAAGATTTTAAGGAGTTAAGTTGAATAGACTGTCTACACACCGATATATAGGGTGATCATCATTGGGCAGAATACAAGGGGGAAGGAAAGGAGATTTACTGTGACCATGTATAAATGAGATAAATGAGCAATAGGTAACCTCTTTCCCTGAAATATATGCAATAAATGTCCTGGCGTTCGGAGTGTTCTTTAATACTTAGTTAACATCAACCAGAGACTGAGAAAAATTGATGGTTACTTTCAAACTATTATTGAGCATGATGGATACGAGATTCAATTGTTACACTATCATTTTTGTCATAGATTTTTTTCGAAGACGCGTGACAAACCTGAACAAAGTCAACTATATAGGTGATGACACAAACAAGAATAGCCATTAAATCTAAAGTTTTCCAAGCCATGTCTAACATACTGCTACACTGTCATTCTACTTCGAGCCTGTTACATCAAGGTATAACTTAACCCATATATAATATTGTATACAAAATTCTCATAATTTTTACTTCAAATCTTATATCCAAGAAGCAAAAATCACCACGCACGCCGCATTAGTTGATAAACCTGTGCTCCAATTAAAATAGTATTCAGCTGGAATTTCATTGCAACGTTTGACAACACAGTCCAGACAACTACTTGTTTACTTGACAACAACACACATACTCAACCTTAAAATTGAGGCGTTCCACTCTGTCTTTCCTCGCTAGGTTAGTTTTCCATTTGTCGAGACAAACCTTCATCTCCTTCCTTCTCACGGTGTCAATGTTTTTACTATCGCTAAAACATTTTCTGGATTCGCATTTGGTGGTAGAGTTCCCGGTAGAGTTAGTCAATTCACCGTAACGTCGTCCTTCGGAAAACACAACTTTGGCCTGAGCCACTAGAGCTCGCCATTTCTTGTATTTCAGATGACCTTGGTCGTCCCAAAGAGGGACCTTGTTTGAAAGACTGTAGTTTGTTTGCCTGTCATTGAGCTCTAGTCTTCGAAAAGGTTTGTGTTTTTCGCGGACTAATGGCGTTCTTGGACGGCTGTTGTTCATGTTTAAGACTGGCAAAACCCCTTGATAACTGAACTGCTTTACCGTTGAACTTATGAAATCCGTGTGAGTGAAGTTGACGGTCTTGTGTTTTGTTTTAGTGTTGACAACTTACTGTCATTATCCCATTTAAAGTTTTCAACGACATTTTAAGACGATTTCCCCCGCTATAAGCAAAGCTTAGTTTGCTCTTATGATTTCAACTGAATGCAGTTAAAGGCACAGTCAAAAAGCGATGAAACTTGCCTTGTATACCACAACGTGCTTTTTCGAATCTGCCACTAATGTGTACGTGCGTGGTGTTTTCACAGAGGTCACGAGACGATTGACTGACATCGATAAAACATCATTCAGTCTCACGACCAGACGGTCTGGACATCCCCTCTCCTAGGTTCCCTTTCACTACCCCCCTTGGAAACTTTTGCGGGCCTCAGAAGTCGCGGTGTATCGGAAGTTTAATTGTTGCGGGAAGGAAGCTATTGTATGCAGTTCGCAGCTTATGAAGAATACTACTTTAGATCTGTCGCAGAGTGAAAAATACATCTTTTACAGTCGCAAAATGCGCAAACAAGAAGTCGGTAATTGATATTCAAGGATCGAGTCGCGCATTTCTGGCATTTTTTATATTGGTTCGTCGCTGAAGCCATTTGAACTTTGCGGAGAGAAGAAAACCAGAGATCTAGCTGGTTGGGAATATGTATTCCGGGGATAGAATCCACGACCAGCAGAGCGGCGCACACTCAACCCGTGGTCTTCTCTACTCGTCAAAACAAATAACTCACCTGGAAAAGCTTTTCTTTCTTTTGTCTACTTCCATGCCTCGTGCTCTTTAAAGCGCCAGTGTTAGAGCGTGGCTTTGTAAAATTCTGAATTTGTACGGAGCCACGACGCAGACGTGGATTGGGAATCGTCAGAAGTGCCACACTTGCTTTGCGCGAGCGAACAGTCGTATCTAAACTGGCAACCCGCGTCAAGCTATGTCTTGGCGGCAAAAACTGCCCTGGAAACGAAGACTTGTCGGGTCGAATGCTGCCTCTTCGTCTCTGACCCTCTGCAAAGCCCTGTACTGGAAGACTGCCTTCCCGTGTACTGCTTCTACGCCTCGGGTACTCTACTCTACCGGAAATACCCTGATTATCAGTGTCACTGCTTCTTCGTCTCGGAGATTCACCGCCCACAGGAATGTCCTGGTGACTGCTCCGTCGTCTCTCGTACTCGACTCTACCCTGTATGATCAGAGGATAATCTCGGGTACTGCTTCTTCTCCGGTATTCCACACTACCGGGCGTTGTATTAGAATTTTCCCGGGTACTACTTCTTCGTCTTACGAGCTCCACAGGCAGGTTGACAAGATTACGGAAAGTTTTTCCATTGGCTGACTCTGTTTCGCTTTCCATGGGATATGTTTTTTTTTTGTATGATGCGAAGTTCTTGAGTGAAAATCTGCTTCTAGTGTCTAAATCTACTGATGATTACTTATTGACGGTCCTTTTCTCTGTCCTTGGAAATGGCCGAGTTATATGTGTGAATACTTGTCCAAACTCCTTTAATGATTTTAGCGATGTTTTTCCATGCAGTCGACTAGTTCCTCAAGTCCCTCAAACATCAATCAGAGTATACTTTGGCATTTTGAGACAATTTAACTGACTGTTTAGCATCCGTGTGCCATGGAAATAAACAGAGATCAATATGAAAAGCTCCGAAACTCGGATGTGTTACTTAACAAACCGAATGAGATAATGAAGTGTTAATTACATCCGTAAACCACTGTCCGTAAAGCGTTTCTTTTCAAATTTGGCTTTAAGTTGTCGATGGTATTGGGTGTGTAAGGGACCGCCTTCTGGCAGCACGGATCACTTCATTCAACCGTTACCAACTCTGCTGGCGAGTATAAACAAATCCAGTTAAAAATAGCTGCGTCATTTAGTAGCCTCAGAGGTAACAGAAGTTGCATAGAAAAAAAATTCCTAATAATAATTAAATTATAAGAGCATCGACTGAAATAATTTTAGTTAAGATATTGCTTTCATTTGTTTTGGTTTTTCACGGCACTTGAACTTTTTGCAAAAGCAGAAGTAGTATAGTTCAGGTTAAAAATCAAATAATTAGAGAAAACGAACAGTTGTTGTATTGGATTCGAATGCTCTCGGAAGATTTGGACTAGCATCTACGTCTTCCACAGGAAGCCCGTATATACATAAATTATGACCAATACCCATCAGCTAATAACATCTTTATTTTTCACAAATCTAATTAACAGCTTAACAACACAGCCACTAATCATCATTATTCATTTGTTACACTCTCGGAAGTGGAGAGGATAGCCAGAAACCAGGTAATGAAGGCCCACTACACAGGCTAATACTCCATTTTACAGTTATGTTCAGTGACCACAAATAATAGTCCCAAGCCAAGCCAGGAGTTGCCGCGCATGATAAACTGTAGTTTTGCTATAATGTGAAGAAACTCCAACCTGGACATGAAAGTATTATTTGTGGTCACTGAACGGAACAGTAAAATAGAGTATTGGCTACATGCATATATAATGCTAACAACGCTATAACAATATGTCAATGTGCTTCTAACATCTACACCTGATCATGATTTGAAGGCCAAAGCTTAAAACAGATGGGAGAAAGACATCACTAGAAAGGGGTTGCAGGGATGAGAATTTAGGAATAACAAAGTCCTTTTTTCCTTTTATGCTTTCTTCAAAAAAGAACTTTCTAGCTGTACTCTTGATACGAGGTAAACTATCTTGATATTTATGCATGGATATAACAAGACTGTGGAGTACTTTCAAGACTACAGTGAATACCATATGGTACTGTTACTAAATACAAAAACTACTGGAATTATTATAAAGATGAAGTCCCTCCACGGGGAACCCAAGCAGGGGCTTTTTCGAAATAGAAAGTGTAGAAATATCAGTCCTCTCTCTCTAAAAAACACAGGACTCCCGCTTTGAGAGATTTAAATGTAGCAAATGCTGACTTAAGACAAGAGGGAATGAAACTACTATTCCTATAACATTACATTTGTACACCTTTTAAATTTCCAAATAACCTATCTAGTGACTATTCTGATGGAGTAAGTTGTACATGGTCTTTAATCAATGTCAGGAACATCAAATACACCACCAGCACTGGCAGAAGGGGGTGGTCCTCCACTCGCTCCAGCTCCAGCTCCAGCTCCAGCTCCTGCTCCAGCTCCAGCTCCAGCTCCTGCTCCTGCTCCTGCTCCTGCTCCTGCTCCAGCTCCAGCTCCAGCTCCAGCACTTCCAAACTTTGCGGAGAGTTTATCTATGACTTTCTTGACTTTGGGGTTGTTCTGGTATTTGCTGATGTTCTGTGGATTTTGACTCACATCTTGGAAGGCGGCCATCACTTCTTGGTCCTGTTACAAGAGGAAAGACATTACAATCCTAACCTTAACTATCTTCCCACTTTACAACCTCTCCTCATGCCTGTTTCGGCATAAGTCCTGCCATGCAATAGATGCTGAATAGTTCCCTTGTACTGTCTACATACAATTTCAGATGATTTAGTAAATTGCAATGAAAAATCGTGGTTCTTCTACTGCTTACAAAAATTAGAGACAAAAGTATTGGACGTTTTTGAATACCTACTCTTTTTTTAGTTCTGCTAAGATAAAACTATGATTTAGTAGTTCCAGAAATTATCCATACCCCCTCACGGAGGAATTTTTTCAGACCCCCCTCTACCCCCAGAAATTCGAATTTTCTTTCATACAAACTCTGTAATTTTTGTTCTTTCTTTGACCCCCCTACTCTTCGGAAATGGGGGGAGAGGGGGAGTATGGATTATTTCTGGAACTACACATCTCACATATCAATCAAAGATGGTCAAGTTTCATTGATGCTGTCACCAACCTGGAATGCCGCCATTATCTCTGGGTCCTGAAGAAGTTCAGTGAGATTAGGTGCTGCAAAAAAGGAACAATTTTTCCATAAGGCTGGAATTCATTTTTATTTGTGGCATTCCTCCCTTAGTGCCTCTACATCATTTTTGTTCAAATTACATTACTTTAAAAGAAAACAGCTATCTTTTGTGAATGGTGTCTTACCTCCTTGTGGCATTCCACCAGGGAATCCCCCTGGCATTCCTCCAGGCATCCCTCCAGGGAATCCACCTGGGAATCCGCCTGGCATTCCTCCAGCCATCCCTCCAGGGAAACCCCCAGGCATTCCCCCAGGGAATCCCCCTGGCATTCCACCAGGGAAACCTCCAGGGAATCCCCCAGGCATTTCACCTCTTGTCTTTCCAGATGTTCTTTTTTCTTTTTCTGCTTGCTCCTAAATTGCAAAAGAATGGATATTGTAAGCCATTTGAAATCTTGAAATTTACCATGGCATAGCAAATTTATTCTTCTTGCACATATTCATATCTGAATCTTTTCAAAAATCCTAAAACATTTTGACCTACCTTTCGTACTTTCTCTCTAGCTGCTTGAGCTCTTTCTCTAAAAGAAAATTATAATGATTAACACCAGAAGGGAAAAGAAGAAGGGGAAGACCGAGGACAACATGAAGATGAACTGTGGAGCAAGAAAGGAAAGAGGCAGGCTGGAGTTCATGGAATGAGGTGTGCACTGTGGTGGCCAACAGGGAAAAGTGGAAGAGCTCTGTGAAGGCCCTATGTGCCATTTAGACGCAAGGAGGATATGTACAGGTACAATTCTAAATCTCAAATTAAAGTGATATCAAATAAGACACATGAAAAATATTAACGATGTTTTAAAAGAACTTTAACTTAATGTTACATCACTTACAGTTTTTCTTTCTGTTTTCTTTCTTCCCTTTCCTTTCTTTTTCTTTCATATTTTCTCTTATGTTCAGCAATCTTGTTTGCCTGTCGAGAGAAATGTGTCGCAACACTAAGGTTATTATTCCAGAAATTTTAATATAATGGTATTTATTTACAAACTTTGACATCAGGAATCTCTTCTGATTTAAATTTTACAACCAACAAACAAAAGATCTCTTTGTTTTATTAGGCTATAGTGCTCTGGTTGGCACATTAAGATCAACAGGTGACCTCAGCATAAACTTTGGTCTCAATCTCTTTTGTCATAGACCTTTCCTGAGATAGACCTTTCCTGAGATAGACCTTTCCTGAGATAGACCTTTCCTGAGATAGACCTTTCCTGAGAGAGACCTTTCCTGAGATAGACCTTTCCTGAGATAGACCTTTTCTGAGATAGACCTTTCCTGAGATAGACCTTTCCTGAGATAGACCTTTTCCCGAGATAGACCTTTCCTGAGATAGACCTTTCCTGGGAACAAAGTGCATTGTGGTCTTGCTTGGGTACAAACATCTTTTGTTCATCATGCCTTATATGGTGCTGTTTGTACCAAAGCTAGACCACAATGCATTTGGTTTATTGAAATCAGAAAAGGCGCTTGTCAACCGAAAAGGCAGCCATGTCTAAATGATAACTTTAATATTTATAATATATATTAATATAATTATATGTGGTAATATGATTATTATATGTATACTATATTCCATATTATGTCTTTTGTCTTATGTCTTTTGTCCTTTTATTTTCATGGGGCAGGATGTACACCAACTATAAAAACCAAAAATTGCTTTTAAAAAATTTGGCCAAGATTGTGGCCAAAAATTCTAACCTTTGGTCCTACTTGGTGGAGCCATTCATCAACTTGTTCATCAAAATCTAGTTTTGCAGCTGATTGTAGATCCCGTGCAGATTCTTCCCAGTTACCAAGCAGCCTAGGAAAACATACAACACGATTGGAGCACAAACCAATGCTCAACTAAGTCAACTGCGTGGCAGCAATATTATTCCTTTTTAAAAAAGAGACTAAATTTTCTGGATTTCTTTTTGAGGTTTATTAGTTACATAAATAAATAACTTTTCAATTATTTATGCTTAAACTAGTTATGTCCTATAATATTTGTATAAAAATGCTTACTCATGTGCTCGTCCTCTCCACTTGAAGGGCTGTGCAGAATCTGGGTTAATCTCAATAGCTCTTGTACTGTCTCTTATGGCAGCATTTGGCTTCTTTAATTTAACATAACAACTGAAAAGTATCCATAATATAATCTTGAGGTTAAAGAACAATGAAAACAAAAATTTGTCGGTCTTGAAATATTCTTTTCAACTTTAAAATCAAGTCAGATATGAAAGAAAGAAAAAACAAAAATACGAAAACATGCACCACACTAAAAACAAAGATCAGATGATCAGTGTTATCAGATATAGATTATTATTGTCAACATTTTTTTTAGCTTTTTAGCTGCGATTTGACAGATGCAAACTTGTGTTATAAACACTTCCTAATGGCCATACCTTGCTCTCTTGAAAAACAAAGGAGCAGATTTAGGATTTTTCAGGATTCCTTCAGTGAAAAGTTTTATGGCATCTTCCAAGTTTCCTGGAAATAAAATATGACCAAGAACATCAAAACTACTTAGCAGGTGAATAACATTACTCTATCCTTGAGTTATTTTTTATCAAGTATGAAGATGCTTAAAAAGCCGCACATGTTTTATTACTCAAGTGGAAGTATTTCAGTCTTGTATAATGACTCAATATGTAATTTATATTGCTATTATATGCATATAACTGCCATGCAATATTTCTGAGATTTTTCTGTGTATTTGAAACAGCTGTTCAAATACATTCTAGTGGTAAGAAAGGACTGTTTTGTATGCTACCAAGATAAGGGACTGTGGTCTAAGGTACCAAACCCCAATTGATCTGTTAATACCTAATAAACCCTGGGTGTAACCTTTTCCACATTCGATTTCAAACATTGTGCCATTCCCTTGAGAATGGTTCCTTTGCTTTCTTGTGATGTTTGAGAAGATTGTGAATGTAACTCAAGCAAGCGAAAAACCTATTGCCAAGAGGTATGAAAAGGGAAACATTATTCCCAAAGTAAAATGGTGTCTTTTCTAAACCATCTTTGAAATTAAGAAGTTTCAGAACATAGAAATATGACAAGATCATTGTAGCCTCCTCCGCAGGCGTCTTTCGTTTCTTTTCTTTTTTGTTGAATTGGGATTCCTGTGTCGCGAATTGGGATTCCTGTTGAAAGATACTAGGCGCTAATTAGGCGAGAGAGAGGAAAGGGGAGACATCTCTCTTTCTTCTCCCCTCTCCTCATTTCCCCTCATCCTAAAGACACAGGAAGCCCAATACTCAAAAGGAGAGAAGAGAGATGCATGTGGAGAAGGCTAAGATCGTTGCATAGATACCTTCACTCATGGCAGCCATTCCTTGATTTCTCAGTTCATTAGCTTGTTCTCTCATTTCATCTGTTACCTAGAAAAATGGAAAGATGAAAAGGAATATTTGATATTGAGCCCATTCATCGGAGGTTTCTCTTAGGGGGTCCAAGGAACACCCTTTAAACACTACCCTCTAGCAGTACTATGTTTGAGGGAATTTAAAGTGCCTATCACCCTTCTGACAATATTCTCAGTATTGATTCTACATGGGGAAAGATGTTGAATAACCCGAAAAAATTACATAGTTTGAGTGCGGCTTCTTGAAGTTATGAAGGTTTTTCCATGTCATATGCTAATGCTGTGAAGTATGAGGAGGCATATGGTTATTTGTTGTTCCTCATAATTCGAAACACCGGCTTCTATGGGAAAACTAACTTGCAATCATTTCTATAAGAGCAATGGGGAAAACAATGACATATTTCAAATTTAATTTATCTGTACCAGTAGTGTTTTGTATATTAAATGATGACTCCTCATACGTCACAGCATTAGCATATGGCATGGAAAAACCTTTAAGACTTCAAGAAGTTGCACTTAAACTATATATTTTTTTAGTGTTATTCAACATCTTACCCCATGTAGAATTAATACTGTGAATATTGTCGGAAGGGTGATAGGCACTTTAAAGCTAAGGTTTGATTTTTTACTGTAAACAGTCTTTATAATGCATAGCCTATGCTTATTCATCTATGTCTGTGTTACAAGGATATAGCAAACTTAATGACACCTTAAAGATGATGAAGTAATTTCGATAAAGGTACTTTTAGCTATACAATTTAGTAAGAAAACTAGTTGTAAAAGACAACATTTCGCTGTCATCTCTACAACATCATCAGGTCATCAGGTTCAAGATGACAGCAAAACATTTTCTTTTACAACTACATTGCAATAATTTTGCAAACACTAAAAATGAAACTTATGCATAGACTTCCTATAGTTAACTAAGTTAGCTAAACTTGTTACCTAAGGCAAGAGCTAATCATGGGTCAAAGAGTGACTTTACTCAACCAGTTCACAAGATAGAAGTAAGTATTATTTCTACCATTGTTTCCTCAACTTTTTACCACTAATGATTAGTTTTTTGTTTCATGGGTTGAGTAAAATCACTCTCAGTGGGTTTGTTTGTTTTTTGGTTCAGTGGTTTTGCATTGTTGGGAAGTCATATCCTCATAATCAACCCTTTTGATCCTATACAAACCATGAGAGATGGATCGCCCATTGACTGTGGTTCATCTGTGTCTGGTTCAACACATCCTTCTTTATCAATGTCTGTAGTGTTGTAAGAAAGAATTACATCAGCCTCAATATGCATTATTTAAACAGTTTTATAGAATTAAAGCAGAAGGGAAAGATAAAATTCAAACTGTTTTTTTGTGTGTGAATTATTCTTTAATCCAAGCTGTTACATAAAATATCAACCTTACCAAGATCACTTTCCTCGCTTTCTTCACTTTCCATTTCTTCTGGCTCTTGCTCTGGCTCTGGTTCCTGTATTCAAATTATGCACCTATTAAAGTAAACCCTGTGGGGGG